TAAGAACTAGAATCAACCCAATTATTAATGAGAACAAATCAAATCATAGAATCAAAACCATTATAACCCCGACCGATTGACACCGCTATATATATCATGAATAAAATTAACTTCAAAATAATTTTTTGAAACCTATCAAACAAGGACTGTCAATGTACTATGAAAATCTAAAACCTGATTCCACATTCCATTGGATGAAAAGTTATAGGGAGAATAACTGTTCAGCCCACCTTAGAATTTTTAGCCCCCGCTGTATAGATGGGATAAATCCTGACTGTGGATTAATGCTAAATCAACGAGTAAAATGCCCTTTATAGAGGGGAGGCTACTAATAGACTATGGGGAACTGTAATTTCAAAATTCTACAAGTGGGCTGCGGTGTAACTAATAAGTACTATCAAATCAAATGACATCATATCAGATTGGATTGGAAGAGATCCAAATTGGATCGAATTACATATACGGATCAAATTTGAATCACCCTCATGGAATCGGATTCTGAATTCCAATTCAGACAAACGGCTACCATTTTCAACCCTAATCCAAACCTAGGCCCATTCTTCACCCTCTCTTTTCTCCCTTGGGCCTTGATGATTTGTCAAGCTAGATTCAGTAAAATTTTTTGCTTTATCCTGATTGACTTGGTATAGGGACACTGTTGAGGAAAGGTACTTGATGAAGTGAGTGATGAGAATTGGGACCCACCCACGAGGACAACATTTTGGTTTTCATGCACTATGCATGAAATGAGTGTAAACTGTCCCCACTCATCATAGGGTAGGCCCTAGGGGTGGCCCATGGGCCCTAGCTCATAGAGGAGATCCAAGTGTCCCTTGTCTTGGGCTGCCGTTGAATAGGATTCAAAAAAAGAGGTGGGCCATGGTACCACATGAAATCTGAGCTGTATTTTTGGAATTTCAGGTGAGGTTGGCTCAACGGTTGTTTCATTTAACATGTTCAGCCACGTAGCTTTCACAATCACATAGAGCTGGCTCTTGTGTTTTCAGGCACAGATGAATGACTAGATGGTGGGCCATGGGCCGTGAGCCATTCCAGAGAAGATGCTTTCAACTTTTCCTTTTGTGGGCCTCTCTTATTATTGGAGTGGTTGGGCCCACACCCACTGCAAGTGCATCCCCTTGTCTCTGCATGAGCTTAAAGTTTCCTATGTATTGTCCATTTATCCTACCTGTCAGTGTCCAGTCCGAATCGGATGAAACTTGTCCTATCGTAACCAGCCTGACACGTGTGGGATCACAGAATATAGAGCTGACGTGGTGTGTCATTATACCGTTAGATGGACCGATCAATGTCTAATAAATTAGCAGTTACCTAATGCCCCAAAATGGTAAACTCAAAAAAAACCTCTGTATTATGGGCGTTTGTCATTTTATTATCAAAACTATTAATAGTTGCAAATACCCCTTGATTCGGATTAGCACTTTAGCAGAACGCGATGGCTGTCCAGCTGGCTGTGGAACCAAAGATCAGATTCAATTCTCACAAGACAGTGTTCATACGGTTAGTACAGTCCCTTGCGACGCGGGATCTCCTGCCCACATTTACTCACAATACATTACCTTGTGAATTGGGAACATCTCTCCCTGCATAATACTATGTAGGATAATAGATATTCTCTATATGTGGCTGTGATGTTATGTGGACAAATGTGAATAGAATTCTCGTAAACAGGAAATCCAGACTCAGCCTTGCATTGAGAATATCTCCCCATAAAAAAACTTATAAATATGAAGATATTCTCAATGCAAGTTTGCAAGAAACTGTAGAAAGAGTGGAACCAATGACAATATTCTACATCAATAATAAATATATGCCCCACTGTGAGAGGTGTAAGGTCTACACATTTTTTGACTGACCTGGAAAGTCATCATTGGTTCTGCAGCCCACTAAACACCCATCGTATTTAACTAACCTTTCCGCTAATTGCTCCACACATGTGGTGGGGTTTTGTTTCCAAAGATAACAACAAAGATTGAGAATAGTGAATAAATAAAATAGAGAAGCATGTGTGATGGAAATTGCTAGTATGATTCTATGGAACTTGTGGAAAATTTGAAACAACAAAATATTCAACAAGAGTTCCCCTCCCCACATAATTTCATCAAATGCTTCTAATAGACACTCAAAGAAAGATTACAAGATGCATTCAAATTCAATCGATCCCACCAAAAGAAGATGAGGTCAAGGTTAATTTCGATGTATCTAGGAGTAAGGTTTTTAAATCCGGATCAGACAGAGAATCATTTTGGGTCTGGTTCATGGGTTGAATGGTCCGATCATTCGGTCTGAACGGATGGCCCATTTTGTCAAAAAAAATTAAAAATTTTAAAAACCCAAAAAACAGCCAAAAACTATTCTTAGGTTGAATGGTTGGACTGCCCGAATCAGCAGTTCGTTGATCAAATCAACGTTTTTGGTCAAATAACAATTTTGGAGTAAAACAGAACCGGTCAGATGACTGATTCCCGCTTTTTCCAGTCCAGTCTGATTTTGAAAGCATTGTCTAGGAGATCTGATGGTAAATGTGATGTGGAAGCTGCTTCTCGTGATCACGGAAGAGTTCTATTTGTTGCATGCAAAAGTGTTGAAAGGTGTTCAATGAACAGCATTGGAAGCATTAAAGTTGGCATCAAAGTTTTCACAACATCGGATAATTGTTGATGGAGATTCCAAGCTCATTGTGGATGGGCTCAAAGGTCGTGAAGAATCCCACCATGGAATGTAAAGCCCATCGTAGAAGATTGCTACGACATTTGTAAACACTCGGGATTTTCTACTCACTTTTCCTATCTATTCTTTACTTGCCGTGAATTGGAGCCACACATCTCTATAAAGAATTGAGAGATGTGTGACTACAATTAACTGCAGGTAGGAAAAGTGAGTAGAAAATCTGGGCTCATTTGTAGGAGGTTTGAGTTAACGGTAACTTTCTTACATGTAGGCCACCATTGCGGCTGACCGGTTGGCCAATATGGGGCATACTCTAGAGATTAACAATATTTCTGTCCCACTTAGGCTGCATTTGGAATTCCTTATTTTAAGGACTTCTCTCTTTTCTTTTTTTTTATTAAAATGCCCCTATAAACACCGAGTTTTTAATAACAAAAAGGAGATGATAAGTGATATTTTGTATATTTGTATACTTGCTATAGTGATAAGTCCTCAAAATAAGGAATGCCAAATGCAGCCTAAGTGGGAAAGACATATTGTTAGTCTCTAGTGTGATATTTTGTATATTTGTATACTTGCTATAGTGATATGTGGGGAATGACTTTTCCTCGCTCACTATAGTTTTGTTCTTCCTCCCTACCAAAAAAATCAGTATAAATGCAAATGTGTTTGGTTCATGAAAATGCAAAGTTTGTCTAATTTTGTATTATAGATATAAATATGAATCCAGAGATTGAATATACCTTTCTAACAGTAGTCAATTCTGAATGCAAACTTTGCTCTCATTTTTAATGCAAATATGTCTTGAAATCTGTATTTGATATCATTTTCAAGACAAAAATACACTCTTACCAAACACTAGAAAAACTGAGGAAAGTGCAAATATGCATTAAACTGGCATTTGCATTCTTAAATGTTATAGCCTTAGAACACTGGCGTTGGATATTTTGAAAAATTAGGGTATATTTGGTTTGAAGAAAAAGGTTGGAAAAGGAAGGAAAACCTATACAGGGTTTGTAAAGGTTTCCCTACCTTTTCCCTTCCTTTTCCTACTTTGTCCTTCAAACCAAACACAGCCTTAATGTCCTATGATGCACACAACCATTTTCTAAAACAAAAGGCTAAGAGGGACTCAAAGCTTTATTGATTGATACACACTTGGAAAAGTTTGGGTGTGGGGGAGAGAGGGGGCATTTACAACTTTTAATAGTTTAGGTAGTAAAATGATACACTCCATCACCCCCAGAAGGGGTATAGCAGTTCTCAAACTCCACCTAAGAAGAGATTGTAGTTAACTACCATGTTTGGGGTTATCAATACAAATTTTGAGAAATTATCTTATCACATCACATTAGATAATGAGTTCCAATTGAGTTAGCATCACCTACCAACAAAATAAATTCCAACACCCTACCAATTTGATCTAATACCGCATATCTCACTATAAAACTAGCCCCATCATAAAAGTTGGACCATCATGTATTAGATGTGTGATGTCATATGATGTTAGTAGGGTGTTGAAACATGTTTAATTGGCAAATTATCTAAACATGACATTGGATTGGTGTAGGCATTTATAATAAAAACATCAAACTTGACTTTTCATGAATAAGTGGCAATTGTACTGTACCTGTATAGCATTTAATACTATTGAAAAACCCAAAACATTTCTAATAGAAGCACTAATGATACCAAACACAACCTACAAGTCTACAATCACTAGTGAGGAACCAAAGAGCTCTTCTGAATCTCCGAAAGCAAAAACCATGCAAACATCTTCAACACAGCATCCATTCATATGTCGGGAATATCTCCCCTGCTTGTACCATTAAATTCACAGTGAGATATTTCCGATGTGCGGCTGGATGCACATACTCTGAAGGTGTTGGTGATTTTTGCTTTCAAAAGTTCTCTCTCCTAAAAAGCAAAACAATGCTCTTAGGGTGGTAACATGGTTTTTGCTTTCAAGAGATCAGTTCTCTCTTTTAAGAGCAAAATCATGCTATACAAATATTGGACCATATACAAGGTTTTTTAGGTTTTGCACGCTACATATTTGTATTTTAGCTTTAAACTGAACCAAACGGAGGCCTTATTTGGTTCATAAGAATAGAGGTCTGAAATGGGAATTGGGTAATTCTAATTCCATTCATTCTGAGTCCTGTCTGAACCAAACAGATAGAAAGGACCATTTCGATTCTGATTTCGAAAAATTTTGGTTCCGAGTTCCGACTGGGAAGCAAACGGACCCTGAAATTTAACCTACATTGAATTCCAATCTAACGGGCAAACACTATACAGTATTCCCATGTGGTGTGAGGGACAGTGACCCCACATAGAATCAGAATCCTCACAGCATATCCGAGAGCTACAGTCATAGGAAAGAAAGGCAAGTAAGAAAGAAAAACCATTCCGATTCCAATCCAACGGTTCTAAGAGCTGCAGAACACAGTTGAATTTCATCACAAAATTTCTGCTTCAATCAAATGTAGAATCTAATTTGGCATCTTAATTACACAAATTAATAATAGTAAAAGTCTTAAAAATCAAGAGCCCAAGAAAGAAGAAATCTGGAGTGGACACTGGACAGGACTGAGGAGGAGGGTGTTTGGATTGGAGGAGGTTCAGAAAATGTCGAGAATTTCCAAGATGAAGCCGTTGCAGAGTGGGCAATTCCCCCGGTTAACCCAGACCTCCCTGGAGCAAAGCCGGCAGAAGGTGTGTCCACACGGAATAAATGCCGCACCTTTATGCCTCACCATGCACACGCAGCACGCGTACTCCCCTCCATCATCGTCGTCCACGTACTCCCCCCCTCCATCTTCCACCGGCGTCACGAATGTGGACCCCACCACCCCGGCCTGCCTGTCCGTCTCCTCCAACAACGCCATCAACGATACCCTCCCCGGTGCCTCCGCCACCGCCACCGTTGAAGTCGACGGAATTTCCTCGCTTCTTGCCTCTGTCGGAGCTGCGGCATTTGATGCTGACCGTTGCATCTCTCGCTCAGCCGCTAATGCGGCCGCCAACCTTGTGAAGGCCGCTTGGTTGGGGAAAGCGGTCGCCTCCGAAGACGAGAAATTGTGCTCGGCGAGGAGGTTTGCAAGGCTGGCGGATGAATTTTCCGGTCGAACCGAGGCCACTGCTTCGGCCGGGGAAGTAGCGGCGACGGGAGGAGTGACCGGAATAGGGTCTGAAGTTTGCATTGTGCTATCCAACAGGCAGATGTTTGTAGTAGCAGTAGAGGAGGAGGAGGAGGTCCAAGCGGCGCCGCTCATGCGGCGGAGACGGAGACGGTCCTTGAAGGACTTCCAGTTCTTCTTGTTGTTGTGAGCCATGAGGGAGGAGTCTTCATGTTTGAGGATGTCGATAAGCGATCGGCTAGCCGGTGTCTTCTCCTCGCAGCCGAGCACTGCGCCTAGGGTAAGTCCCGCCAAGGCGCTTCGGCCGTCGTCTTCGTCTCTTACTCTCAGAAGATCCCGGAGGTTCGATTTATCAAGAACTGCCATCTGGTCCGACAGGGACATCCGACGACGACCGCCACTGCTTGCACTTTCCATTCAGTCTACACTACCAAATTCCAAGAACTTGACACAAACTTATAATCTTGTGGAGCAAAGAATCGATGAAACCGCCGCGGAAACGCGAAAATGACAGGTTAGAAGGAGAATCTCGTTAATACGCTTGCCTCCTTCGCAGAATCCACGATTCTCCAAATGAATTCAACAGCGGGAACCTTCGCTTCACGAAGAGCAGACAAAAGAGGCAACCCGGTCCCGGGATTAGAAAACAAAACCAGTGAAAGCGACGAGACTCGGGAATAGCAGACGAAAACCGCAAGATCCACGAACACAACACCAATCGATGGATCCACAGAAACTCTGATAATTTACCCCAATAGCTAATCCACCGGAAGTATTTTCACTGAAAATTCTGAACTTTCTAGTCGTACGCTACGAAGCATAGGATACCTTCCTTCCTTCTTTAATGCATATACCCAAAGACCAGATCTGATCTTTCTCAGCCTTATTGTCTGGAAGACAGAAAGGAAAAGAAGGAGACCGCAAATCTGCAACCAAGATGTCAGAAGAACAAGAGACAGAGCAGAGCAGAGCAGAGCAGAGAGAGAGAAAGAAAGCCAAACAAACGAAAAAGCCAGATTGAAAGAATTTCTACTCTGGCTTAGAACGAACGTAAGGAATCGTCTCTCTGTTTCTCAACTCTCAATCTTCTCTTATGCTCTCTCTCTCTCTCTCTCTCTTTCTCTTTCTGTCTTCTCATTTAATCCATAGCTTCTGTTTAACTTCTCTCAGACAGTGGAGCCGGGACCGAGTCTCATGGGAGCATGGGTCACCCGTTACTACACCTGGTTTATAGGAATATGACTACTCTAGGAAATTACTAAACTGACCCTTTCCATTCACACCCTCCTGTTTATCTTCTCTTCACCATGGTCCATCCATAGCATGAAATTTCCGTAGCTTTTAATCCTGGCCACCAAAAAAGAATCTGAGCATATAGAATCTCTATCCTTCGATTCAGTGCTCGAGTCTGCACTGCATTGATTTGGATGTGTTGTCTGATTCAGAGAAGGGCCCATCGGACAGTTTCGAATTTCGACTCATTAAAAATTTATAATGGCAACCCCATCCCCGACCCGGATCTCCGCCGGAGATAAAAATGATCCTTCATTTCCGATTCTTGATGTAGACGGGATTTTTAACCGGACCTGAATTTTTTAAATTTTCGTTAAAAATAGATTTATATAAAAATAAGGAAACATTTTTTAAATATATTTTAATATAATATAAATAATATTATATTTAATATATAATCGGGTCGGGGTGAGGCATAGAATTCATTTCCATGATTCCATCCCCGTTTCCGTCCCCAATCGGATATCTCTTTCCCCAACACGATGGGTCGGGAAGCGGGTACCCGATAGAAAAAAAAAAGGGGAATGGAAGCTAAGCTTAAAAAGCTGGGCCCCACAACGCCTACGATTAGTAGATTGGGTCAGATAGCACTTTGCATCATGGGTTTACCTTTTGATCACCAAGCGATCCTATAGCACATGATTTATTATATTAAATTGTATCATGTATCATTAACCGTTGGATCAGTTATTTAGAGACTGAATTGGTCTCTGATCTTATCCAAGAGGGTGGTCCCGAGCCAATAAATGCACGAGATGATGGAACAGAATGAATTATAATAAATCAGTTATGTCAACTGCTGTCCATTGATTACATTGTTCTGAGGCAAGGGACCACCGGACCACTATGAATCCTTGGTCCATACTTTGTATCCTCCGTCTCCATGATCAATGGCGTGATTGGGGACGGTGTAAGTGGACAGGATCGACCTATTTATGGCGATGGTCCCACAGTACCACGGTTTAGGGTATATGCATCCAACACCGTACATGGTTTGGTGAGATATAATTAGAAAAGTTGATTAGCGAGAAGTTCGCATCATAACATTTCACACTAGTATTTATGGGGCCACCATCATTAAACCAACTCTCCATTATGGATTCCATATTTTATTAGTGGTGTGAGGGGTTATCATTAGTTACACATTGCGTTTTACAGTCATCACCTCCACTAATCTGAATTATGGTAAATCAGAGCCATCAAAGTTGACACGTGGCCAAGCCGAGAATATGATGCATGTCCATGCRAAGCCTCGGTTGGAGGGCAGACATGTGGTGAATAAGGCCTGTTATCGATACCCGAAAATCGGAAGCTGGATCCGACATCCAATCCAATTATCTCGGGACAAGAGAGTAGATTATGGTAGTGATACCAAAAAATCTGAGGCTACATCCTATATTCAATCCAATTATTTTGGATTATAATGATGTATTTATATAATGGGATAGTATTCAAATTTTAAAATTTATATTTAATTAATAATTGAATCGGATTTGGATTTGACTCCAAGAATCTAATTGAAATCTGAATTCTATTATATTATAATATTTATTAATTTTAATATATAAATTTATATAATTATATTAAAATTATAAAAAATATATATTTTATATATCATATATGAATTTATATATAATAATTTTAATATATTATATTTACATTAATTTATTATATATAAAAATTAAAAAGTAATTAACTTTTTTTATATTTTAAAAGATTAAAGTAGAATTAAATTAAATCCAAATCCAATCCGAATCCAATACAATTTGAATTTGAATCCAATGTATTCAAATCCGATAGGATTTTAAATCAAACTCAAATGTAAGTTTTTAATAATTGGGTCAAATTCGGATTTTGCTGAATCAGATCATATTATAGCCCTAGTTGTGAACATCTCTAGAGATTGATTTGGTCTAGCAGCTTGATTCATCACCTTGTCAATGGCGAGATGTGTGGAGCATGCCTAAGAACAATTCAGCTTGGGACTCTGTGAGGTGCAACATGTGGCTTTGACCAATCACAACATCCTATGAATTTGATGAAAACCCACTTGAATGGTTACTATTTTTATGATGCCAGTTGATTGGTTTAAGTTTTTTCAGTATCATGTCTTTCTGACATCATACTCTAACCCTATGATTTAACCTAATTAGTATTAGGGCAAATTTCTTAATCTACCACTAGAATTTCTGACAATTAACATCTTCGTTGAGTGCTTACGAAAAAATAAAATATCAAATTTGTCCTTCACTATTACTCAAATTTTCAAAATAAAACCCAAATTTCAGTAAGATAGGAAGCAGATCATTGCCCCGTCTTCATCTACCGCCTTATACCAACCACACCATTGGGGGAGCTAACGGATGGCTCCTAAACCCCACAACCAATACCCCCACCACCGGTTACCTACTTAGACCTTCAACCTCAAAGACTATCACAATAACCTAATCTCTCTCTCTCTCTCACTGAACTAGTGGTAGTGATTTCGTTCTTCCTCTTTTTCTCTTTTCTTCTCATCTTTCTTCTTTCTCATTCTCTCTCTCTCTCTCTCTCTCTCTCTCTCTCTCTCTCTCTTCCATTCACAAATCTTCTCTGCCCTTTCCCGTCTTGCCGTTGCCTCTGCAACTCGAGTTAGTAGCGATGTTAGGAATCATTTTCCCTTAGTCTTCTGGCCAATTCTTATCATCTTCCTCATCCCCCACTACTCCCTCTTCATAATCCACTTGGGGGTGTTCCTTTTTTGGATTTTGAGAGGGGAAGAAGTTGGTCAATGGGATTTTGGTTCCTATTGACCAAGAATCATATGTTCTTTTTTCAGATTTATGTGGTGATCAGGGAAAGTTTATTTTAAGTGATACCCATCTCCTAGGTGGGGAAATAACCTTCCCACCTAGGGGGAAGTTGCCAATACTTGAATGAGACAAAAATACCCCTTTTAATAATAGATTTTTATGGATAAAATGGTCATTACCTTATTTACATGAGAAATTAAAGAATATGGATAAATGTTTTCCAGGAAAAACTTACTCAAGTAATTGTATTTACCCGGGTAAATAATTTACCGAAAAGCGAACAGGCCCTTGATCAATTCCCTCTCTATCCCCTATTCTCCAATGACTGGGAATAGGCTGAGATAGTCGTTTGCTCTTCCACCATCCCAGCCCTGCATTAACCTAAACCATTTCCCCTTTCTTCTCCCCTCTTCACCATAGACAAACTACTACATGTCACTCGCCATGACTACAAATCTTAGTCCTGTAGACGACGTCAACCGTTGTTCATTCATGGTTCATTTAGCTTCATCCAAATCGTCGGACTATTGCCCTACACATGCCACTCTTGCATACCACACAATCCTGTCTCTCGCCCGATAGCTCACTTCCCTCATTTAATTCTCATCGGAGTCCAACCCATAGATTGTATTTTAATCACAGTCACCTCAGCCTTCTTCCTGACTCTTGTGTCAAACTAAACCAATATGAGCCTCCTCGATCATCAGTGATCAGACCCAACTCGAGGCCATCGAGCTTGTATCAGGAAATATCCATCCAAGATTTTCAATGGGATTGAAACTTCGCCTGAAACAAGAAAAAGCAGATTTTCCCGTCGGAATGGTGAGATCTTTGTGAGAAAAAGGCATCTAATCTTCTAAATAATTGGAAATCTGTGTGGATCAGAGATTACATCTGATGAGAGTGGATTTGGCCTTCCAATGACATTGTGACACATGGCACCTCAGAACAATTAGGTGACACCCGGAACCACTCAGGCAACAACTTGCCAAGTTGATAGTGTCCAACCTGGCGGCCTGGCGACCTGCGAGACGTGCTCGCCGACAAATTCGGCATGTATACCCCACGATCCTTGAAGGTTGGCCTTCGTTCCGAAAGATGGTCAACGTGCATGGCAGTTACCTCCGAGGATCTCGGACTAGTTAGACACGACCTCCCGGAGATCTCGGGGGTGATACATGAGCAAGGCCTATATAAAGGCACCAACCCCAATGACAGATGAGAGGCAAGTAAGCAAATTCTAGCTCTCATACTTTGCGATTTTTAGCTCGCAGTCTACTATGAGAGTATTGACTTAAGCATTGGAGCGACCTCACCAGGTTAGCCACCCCGGGTCCTCTAATATTTGGTTCCTTGCAGGTCTTTAAAGAGCAACGAAGCTCATCAATTCAGCTCACCACCAGGCAGCTCAACACCTGGTCAGCCCAGCACCTCACAGGCAGTTTGACACCTGGTCAGCCTGGCGCCTCACAGGCAGCTCGCCACTTGGTCAGCCCAGCACCTCACAGACAGCTTGACACCTAGGCAGCTTGGCACCTCACAGGCAGCTCCACTTCGACCTCTGAGTCATTGGCCACTTGGAAGCAGACCAAATGACAAGGTACTTAGCCAAAAAACTGATACTTAACCAAAAATAGATCCATCAACATCGAACCCTGAAACCACTGCAACCCCTGAAATACCAGATTGAGCGATCGGCGGAGAGGGGTTGGAGATCTTCGAGCAGCTCTAGAACTTTCGAACATAATAGGTGGACTTCTTCCAGAGTATCTCCGTTTTGGTGAAAATTAACTTCAAGTGAATTTATTATTATTATTTTTTTTGTGTTTCTTATTCCAAAGAGCATCTTTAACTTCATATGATCATATCCTATGTGGTGCCTAAAGCATCTAAATGGAATAAAAATCATAAACAAATGAATCTTAGGTCATGTGCAGAATCCAACAACTCTCCCAATTTCCAACGAGTCAATCAAATACAAATGTTTCATGAAAAAACTACGAGTACCAAATACAAACCTAAATCAATAGATGTTGGGATCAAAGGTTGTGTTTGGAAACGATGCAAATGGAGTGTAAATCTCGGTTTAGGGTAAATTTACACTCTGGTT